GGCCGTGGTGGTGGGGGATGGCGGCGAGGGACAGACCGACGGTTGTGGTCGGGGCTGGCGGCGACCGGCTGCTGGTAGAGAAGGTGGGATTGGCAGTGGTACCATTTAAGAGAGGCATGCGATTGTGACTAGCGGATGGTGGTCGGTTAGATCTGCGGTAGTGGTGGAGGCTGGGGTGGCGGTGGGGTTGGCGGCAACTGTGGTGGGTGCTGGAGCGGCGGTGGGTGTTGGGCCAGTGAGTTCCAGCGGGTATGATGGGTAGGGATGGGTGGAGGGCATTTTTGTCTATTTACTCCTTTAGTCAATGCCTCTTAAAAATGAGAAATATTCAAAGTGGGAACATCTTTTCCGGACGGAGGGAGTATTTTTTTGTAAAAATGAGTACTATGAATACTCGTACAATATAGAATATAGAAATAGCTCTGGGGTCCAAAATATAGAAATAGCTCTCCATGTTCATAGGGAACATCTAAATTGCCCCATCTCTGGCGAACGAGTCCCAAATAAGCTATGGGACACTGGCCTAGCCGAAAACGAAGAAGCGCTTTTATGGGTATCAATACTCTTGTCCGGAGCCCACGTTCTCTCTCTATCATGTGAGAACTCCAATTTCTCCCAATCTCACTCCTGGAGATCTGATATAATCGTGCAACTTATTCGTGTAAGGTTCTATGCGTGTCTTTAAATGATTTGATTGTTCATGTCTGATCATTTCTGATTTTAATACGAGTAAATGTTAAATAAACTACACGCCACTTTGATTTCTCGATTTTTTTGTTGTCAACTTGTTGCATGCTTGATGATCAGCCTCTTGCTAGAATTATATGTTGTATTCGTTCATTTTTCTCTTATGTTTTTTTCCCCGTTTCTAGGGATGGATTTTGATGAGAGTCTATTGGGAAGCATATATTGGGATTATTTATGCCTATATGTATGTTTTTGAAAGGGTTGCCTTTATAGCTATTACTTTAGTATTTTGATCCCTCTGTCAAATTCTTATGATTGTATTTGGGAATGAAACATTTCTCTGTCGAATTCTTATGATTGTATTTGGGCTCATTAGGTTACTAAGATGAAGCTGTGTTTATGTTGTGGAGTTGTGTGTGTTTGAGAACTTAATACATGGATAAGGATAGAGCGCCAAGCCTGGGAGGGGGTTCACTGCCTCCATGTGGGAGATATTCTCCTTTTGCTTCATCCAATGATGGTTTCAGTGGGAATCCAGAGCCTTCTAGATCATTCAATTTGCCTCCATTAGTGGGTGCTTCAGGCACAAGCCATTTTGGTATTGGAGCGACTTCAGATTCAAATTGCTTCAGTCAGGATATTAGCCAAATGCCTGAAAACCCACCAAAGAATTTGGGCCACCGACGTGCCCACTCTGAGATTCTTGCACTTCCTGATGACATCTGTTTTGATAGTGATCTCGGAATCGTTGGTGGATTTGATGGACCATCATTGTCAGATGAGAATGAAGAGGACCTTCTCTCTAGCTATTTTGATATGGATAAGTTTAATTCATCCTCTGCCACTTCATCATTCCTAGGTCATGGCTCATCTTCTTCACCAGCTGCTTCACCAGCTGGTGTTTCGGGCTCATCCCAGGCTCCTTCATCAGCGACACCATTAGCTGGTAATGTTACTTCTGCTGTTAGTGAGAAACCCAGAATAAGACATCAGCACAGTCAGTCAATGGATGGTTCAACTACCATCAACCCAGAAATGCTGAGATCAGGCGCCGATGAACCTTCTACTGCCGAATCTAAAAAAGCCATATCTGCTGCTAATCTTGCTGAGCTTGCCCTTATTGATCCAAAGCGTGCAAAGAGGTAACTAATCAGATGAATCGTTGATTTTTTTAGTCGTGAAAAATATATGAGCTCTATAAAGATATTGAATACCTTAGCCTATTATGCCTTGTGAACTATCCAGATGATATCTTTGTGTGTGGTCCTGGAGATATGCTTTAGATAGTATATTAGTATTGCCATTTTCTTTCCATTCTTCTGTTAGGTCCTATTTTATATTTTACAGAGTAATAAAAACTGTTTCTGGACAATGTTTATTCTTCCAATCACCCTCCAGAGTTGTAGCATTGCATTTTATTTTTTGCATACATGGAACACAAAGGTGAAAGAACTCAAAGAAGTCTTTATTTGATAGTATCTGTATATTTGAGAACTTTTAGCTGGTGGTTGTTTTATGTATACATCAACCTTTTCAGAAAATCCATAAATACATTGTGAGTCTGTATGGCAATAGTTATATACTCCCTCCGTCCCACTGTTTTTGTCCACTTTTCCTTTTCGGGACGTCCCACTGTTTTTGTCCACAGTCCACTTTCCTCTTTTAGTATAACTCAAATGTATTAATTGTCCAGTTTACCCTCCACTTAAATTCTTCTCTTTAATACGGAGCATTCCCAATTCCGTATACACCCATTAAGCATTCATTATCTCCCTTCCCCACTAGCAATCAATAAATTTTTATTCACACTCCCTGCCTTTACTCTTCCATGTCTCTAGATCTGTTACTCCAGAAGACGAAGATTGGGAACTTGCAAAAGATAGCTCTATGTTGATAGTTTCCCTCAATTCCCAACTAGCGTTCTCGATCAATTTCTTCACACCCAGCGGCCAGCACCATCTTGTTTATCCAAAATTGAACAAACTAAAAGGAGAGTAAAAATTAAAACAAAAACAAAAAACCTGAAGATTGCACAAAAATTGGAGACGAGTATTGATATGATGAAGACGCTAACAGTAGGCGATGAAGAGAATCGAGGAAGGAATGGAGTTCATGGAAACAAAAATACCTCATCATATCCTTCCTCATATCAATACTCGATTCTATTCTTCCTCGAAGGATATCAAAAGGAGAGAATCGAGAATCGAGGAAGGAATCGAGGAAGGTTAGTGGAAACAAAAATACCTCATTCATGGAAAGAATCGAGGAAGGAATGGAGTTCCGAGCTAGCGATGGAGGGAGGGAGAGAGAGAGAGAGAGAGAGAGACGAGAGAGAGAGAGAAGTGGATTGGGATGTAGAATGAGTTGCTCGTAGTGAGCCAGCGGAGGCTCTGAGTCCCTTAGCAGTCTGATTAGATTTGCGGTAGGAAATTCTAGATCTAAAATGAAGGGGTATTTTCGTACTTCTCCTCCCTAATTTCACCCTCCTTGGTTCATGTGCCAAAAAGAAAGTGGACATAAACACCGGGACGGAGGGAGTAGTTAATATGCTTGTCAAGTTTTCAAATAAATCATTTTACAACATAAAAATGTGGGGTTTGGACATTTTGTTTAATCGGGATATCCACATCATTCAACAACAACAATAGAGTATAGTCCCAACATTGTTTGGTGCAGGGGGTCAAGATGTACACAACCTTACCCTTTTGAAATACAGTGGTGCTGCTTCCATTAGACCCTTGTTGCATTGCTGGCTTTTTCTGCATTTACTACCTGAAACTTCATTAAGAGTAAGAAGCAAAGGGAGTTTAATATGCCATTTTAATTTGATTCATTATTTACCCAAAACTAAAACATTTTCAATTACGAGTCTTTTAGCTCCATTGTCATTGATCCACAATATCTACATCGTTATCCAGGAAATTTGGTTACAACTTGAATTTAACGTTATAATTTTAATTCATTTATTTTCTGGGCCAGTACAACAACCCTGGGGAGGGTGCGTGTACATAGACCTTACCCCAGCTAGGAAGTAGAGAGGTGATATACTAATATTTAAAAAATGATATTACTGAACTTTTTTGTTGTTGCTCCCTTTTGCTTTCGGACACTTTTTATAGTGACCACTTTAAATTGTACTCTTATGCGAGTTGGTTGCTCTTTGTGCCAATTTTTTGCCTTAAGTTTTCACCATTTTCTGTTTCTAAGTACTATTGATTTCATTATAGAATATCCTACAAAAGTGTTGTCTCCACCTATGCTTTCAACTCAGACTTCATAGAAAAATGGGAGATGTCATATATCATATGTTTGCTACAAAGTATAATTTTGCACTGTCTTGTGTCTTCTTAAAAATGCAGTACTCTAATATATAAAATGGAATCATGCATTCTATAACACATAAAATGGACACTTTTTACATGGACCCCTTTAAATTGTACCCTTATGCGAGTTGGTTGTTCTCTGGGCTGAATTTTTTCCTTTAGTTTTCATCATATTCTTTTTTTAAGGACCATTGATTTTTCTGTAGATTATCCTGCAAAAGTGTCTCTCATATTCTGTATATGTGATTTCAATTCTAAAAAATGTGAGATGTCATATATCATGTGTTTACTAAATAAGTAACTATGCATCCCATCTTTTTTTTAAATACAATATGCTGTCATAGTTACTCCCTCAGTATAAACTTCACGGATTGACTTTACGGAGTTTAAGAAAAGTTTATGGTTTGAATTTTTTTAGAAAGATAAATGATTAGAGCCACATATTCCTTTCCTTAAAGGAAAAAAGGAATGCGTGAAGTTTGGGTCGGGCCAACAAGACCAAGCCTAGAAGTACCCCACTGGGAAGTCATTTGAAGCTGACCAAAGAACAATCACCTAAATCCGAAGAAGAAAGATCAGAAATGGCTAAAGTTCCTTATGCATCAGCTGTTGGGAGCCTCATGTATGCCATGGTTTGCACTCGACCAGATATTGCTCACGCCGTTGGCGTTGTTAGTCGATTTATGTCAGATCCGGGTAGAGAACATTGGGAAGCTGTCAAATGGATACTTAGATATTTGAAGGGAACCCAGAAAATGGGTTTATGTTTCAGAGGGAAGGATGCTATTCTCAAAGGTTTTACAGATGCTGATTTGGGTGGTTGTAGAGAGACATTTAAGAGCACTACAGGGTATGTCTTTACAGTGGGAGGAACAGCAGTGAGCTGGATGTCTAGACTTCAGAAAAGTGTGGCGTTATCTACGACAGAGGCTGAGTATATGGCTGTTGCAGAGGCCAGTAAAGAACTAGTTTGGTTGAAGACTTTTCTTAAAGAGTTGGGCAAACAGCAGTCTGATTACTTATTGTACTGTGACAATGAGAGTGCGGTGAAACTTGCTAAAAATCCTGTTTATCATGGCAAGACGAAGCACATCGGGATGAGGTATCACTTTGTGAGGGGATTGATCAGTAATAGAACAATCAAGTTGAAGAACATCTCAGGTGCTAAGAATCCAGCAGATATGTTCACCAAGACAGTGGTGCTGGATAAGCTGAAGCTTTGCATAGCTTCAGCTGGTCTCCTGGAATAGTGTTGAGGAGAGGGGCAACTAGGGAGATGTGAAGATCAAGGAGGATCTTTCATTTACAGAAGTACAGAGAGAAGCCGCAGTTTGGTCCAAAGACTCCAAGTGGGAGATTGTTGGTGATGTGTAGTCATCGGCCCAAAGTGGCCCACTTGTAGACAACTGAGAGTTAGGAGACCAGATTAGGGTTTTGGCCGGCCCAAATGGTTTTAAGCTCAGTTTGCTATAACTTGTCCAGCATAGGGTTAAACCCTAATTAGTTGTCTATATATATGATCTCCTGTACTTGTAATCATCATCACTCAATAATACAAACCCTAGTTGCCCCTGTGGATGTAGGTCAGATTAGACCGAACCACGTTAAATCTCGTGTTCTTTATTGCTTTCTTGCTTTCTATTCGTGTGTGTGCTTTTGTTCTTAACAGTCAGACTCATAGTAAATAGATAAAATTAATAATTATGTCACATCTTTGCTAATGCTTCATCCTACCAGGATCTGGGCCAACCGGCAATCAGCCGCTAGATCGAAGGAAAGGAAAATGAGGTATATAGCTGAGCTTGAGAGGAAAGTCCAAGCTTTGCAGACAGAAGCCACTTCGTTGTCTGCACAATTCACCCTGTTGCAGGTAAACTTTATTGCTTTTCTTGTCCTTTTAAATTAACTGTTCTTGTTACTTTTCTTCTTTGTGCAATAAATTACAATCTTTGTCTCAAGATTCAGTATTCGAGAAGGAACTAGGCGATAGGTGGAGGAACCTAGAAAATATAGATTTTTTTGTGAAGTATTTTTTAGTGATTTGTTTTTGTAACTTGTACTCCCTTTGTCCCATAAAATGATTCCACATTTACTTTTTTGTTTGTCCCAAAATAGGATTATCTTTCCCATTTGCATGAGAAATAGTGTGGTTCACACCATTTTTCTCTCTACACAAACTCAGCAACATGCTTTCACCCTTATGTCAATTGTGGAACCTTATTTTGGGATGGAAGAAGTATTATTTAATATTTCAATTTACAATATCAGTTTTGCAATGAGGCATGACTAATTGACGACAACAAGTATCTCCTCTCATCACAATCTCAATATTCCATGATAGTTTCCATCAAAGTATGAAAAACTTATGGTGATGATGTTGGAAGCTCATCTTAGTATTCCTTCTTTAGAAGGTTGCGACATGAATGATATGTAACATAAACTTCTGCTAAGCAACAAACTCATGAGCTTCAATTTGAGTCAAATATAGACAAGTGCCTAAGATATGCACGCACACTCATATGTGTGTGTACAATGTTGTGAAACAGTTGTAGGGAGGTACTGGGAGTGTTTGCATGGTAAGAGGAGGTGGTATGCTTTGAAACAGATGGAGGCATAAGCCTCAGCTCAAAGATTAAAAAAATGCTTAACAAAATTAAAGCAAAATAGATAATAAACCAAATACTACCTCTGTACCAATGAGTTTCTCAATTTCAATTTTCGGAGTCAAGCCGGACAAACTCTGATCATCAACTAAGTAAAAATTACATTACGTATTGGTACAAAAATGATTTAGTTAGATTTAACTTGCAATATGTTAAAAAACTATTTTGTTTTATTAATATACAATGTAATTTGTATTTAATTGATGATGAAAGTTTGTCATGTTTGACTCCACAAGTCAAAATGGACAAACCCAATGGGACGGAGGGCGTATAAAGATTTAAGCTTAAACACACTTTAATCAGGCCATTAATTCTTTTCAAGTCCTAAAGCGTATCGATTCTAAACAAATCTTATCTTAAAGGCATTGTTAGCTTGTTATATACTTCTTTTTTCCTAATGCACGTGTCAACTTTCTCAAGCTCTGTCTTACAAAATATGTTTATAAAATTATTTAATAATAGTAATATCTACTGATTCTTTATGTCAGATAAGTACAGGTAAACACTCAATTTTGAAACTGCATACACTGTATGCGCGCACAATGTTGTGAAAATTGAATGGTGTACCTAAGGCGTTTTGCCTTGTTAACATATGTCGTGAGGCACTTTAAGGCTTACACATTCAAATACATTAACAAAGCTAATTGTTCTAAACAAGTACTCTCTACTCTGTCCATACCATAAAATGGTGTCCTGATCCAGCAAGGTAAATGTTTCTAATGTAATAAGGTATATCTATTGGAAACAAACAATTATAGCTATGTTTTTAATTTATTTGATTGTTTAATTAAATTTAACATTCTTAGCTTATTTGAGACACATTTAAATATATTCAATTAAACAAAATTAAGTTTTCAGACATGAGAGTCTCTTTAGGACGAAAGTAGTAGATTTTTTACAAGAAATCATAATTTAAAGTTTTGAACTAAAATACACTTGAATGGATCTCATTAATCAACATGAAACTCTCCCTTTATACTAAGGCAGGAGAAATCAACTGATTAGCCCTTTTGGAATTGATTAAATTCATTGTTTAGGGGTAACTTTTAGATGGGGGGCTCTAGTATCTGGAATCAGCCCTTTTGATAGTAAGGTCTAAGTTAATGCAATGCAGTTCACTCAAATGATTCTGTTGAAAACCTACCCAACACGTAGGGTTACTTATCCTTTTAAGTTTCATATGAATGAAAGATTTGGAAAGACGTTCTTGTTGACAACAGTTTTTTGGGAGGTTCGGGAGGGGGGGGGGGTTGAAATGCAGAATGTTAGCCGTGTAGAGAGGAATTAGTTCTCAATGGGTATGTTGAAGATGAACAAGAGCTCTGCAGCTGCTTGCTGCTCCTGCCGGAAGGCTAGCTCCATAATCTGGATATGTACTTCCTTCTCTGCAAGCAGCTTGTCCTTGAGGGACTTCGGAGGACAAGGGGCTGACTTTTGGCATTTGAGGGCCGGTCCACCCCCTGAAGCTTTTTGCTTCTGACCTTCTCTAAGACGAAGAGCGTCGGGAGTAGATCCCCTACCACAGTAGGAATCACAAGGTAAAGCCTAGGCAATTTTCAAGAAGAGAAATGGAAGAGTATTGAATTAGAGTCTATCATATCTTCAGTACATAGGTATCATGTTGACTAGTCAAGTTGAGTCATTAAAGAAGAGACTAGTCGATGATTAGTCAACAAGTTCATAATAAGTAGTAATACATTCTTTAAAAAATAAATGTAAATCTATCACTAAATATAACCACATTTTTAAGAGTACATAACAAACCAATTTCTTTCATTTATAAATTGCAAAAAAAAAGGCTTGAAAGACAACAAGAACAAGAACAACTACACCACCACCAACAACAAAGCTTTATTCAACTAAGTGGGAAAAAATAAAAACAAAAGGTTTAGAAGAAGTTGAAAGATAAATAAAAAACATAACTGAAATTTGCAAGAAGAAGAAGAAGAAGAAATCCCATTAACTTAATTCTCAAACTCTCTCAACTTTAATTCTCAAACCCCCTTTAAAAAACAAAATCATTAAAATAAAATAAAATACTCTCCGTCATGGTTGTCCCAAAATTAACTTCCTACTTTCCTTTTTTGGTTGTCCCAAAGTAAAGTTCTCATTTCTTTTATAAATGAAATGGGTGGTCCAAATTAACTCTCTCTCCTCTTCCACACAATTGCATTTTTTCTTAAACTCCGCAAAAAGCAAACAACACCTTAGTTTTAGACGGAGGGATTAAAAAACTGCTGAAAGAAGAGAGCCGGAAGGAAGAGCACAGATCCGACGATTGCGGGTGAAGGAAAGAGAACCAGAAGAAAGAACACAGATTCAACGAACCAAGCTGTAGACAATACGACAAAGAGAAGAAGCTAAGAGTGGGATGAAGGGAAATGGAGGACGAGGGCTTTCTTTCTAAAAATTAAAAAAAAAAAGTTGGGTTGGGTCTTGCCAGGTCAGGTCGGGATGCAAGGTAAGGAGACAACTAGTTGTCGTCTACATGAACTAATCGATGGCTCGTCGACATCAGGAGAACAGAATACTTCAATTTCTAGTTGAAAATGGCAGTGGACACCCTCCCACCGACCAGACAAGTCAAAAAGTCAATGAAATGAAAACACTGCTTCAGTACCTCCCGCGGCTTCAGGAGGGGAATTGTTTAGGAGGCTTCTCCATTCTTTTGGGTCCTGTGGCTCTTCAGTAGACCCCCCAGAGGGCAGCGCGTGAGAAATTGGTACCTCTGGATTACCTTGTCTTTCAGCCAAGGGCTCCAGGTTGATGTCTTCTACTTGTGGGGTCTCTTCTGGTTGGTCTGCGGGAGGTTCTTGATCATCAAAGCAGTGGTCATAGAGTTCCCCTCTAATCTGCTGGAAAAGAGACTTTGATGGGGAACAGGCGACTAAGCCAGTTCTTGAAGCCCAGCCTCGTCTCCTTGGGGAATACCATAACAAAGTATTTTCTCTCCCAGCCATCAACCTTGCCTGGGACTTTGGCAAACATGGGGTGTTTTGCATGCATTAGGGAAATCCGCAAGTGGCATGTTCATTCACCTGGTGGGATGTCATGGTGGCAACAGATTTCTTCCACGGTGGATAGATGGGGGAGGCAACAGCCGGCCTTCACAGAGGTGTAATGCATGAACACCCAACAGGTGGGCATGGGGTTGTCAACAAGGTTTGTTTCCGGCCTGGGGTGCCAGATTTTGCTGTATGGGCCATCTCTTTTCCATCTCCTCAAACTCAGAATCAATAATACGAGAGAGAGTGGGCCTCCAGGTAGCCATATCAACCTTAAGTATGATTTCTACTTGACTGGTGTGAAAACAAAGAAGTTTTGCAGGGATGAAGATGGAAGTTAGGGTTTATTTTGCATAGGAGGTTTTAAGAGCAAGAGTGGTAAAACGTTTATCAGTGAGAGAAAAGTTTAAATAAGCACGAGAAATATCTAGGGACTGCACGGGCAGCTGGAAGATGAGGAAACTGAGATTGGTTTTGGCAAAATGATGATGGTTCTGCATTGGGAAGATGTCTGTACACATAGTTGTCTTCAAAATTTAATTCCCTCCTAAGGGTAGTAGTGCTAGAATAACTTCTTGTAATCTCTTAATTTCTTGTATGGCTGCTTTGATGAAGGACCACACAAGAAACTAGGGTTGTCTCGTGATGACACCAGTCTATACGCAGCCGCACGGGCCCAAAGGTCATGGAGTAGGTTAAAGCCCACAATGAAATGGGCGGGTTTTACTCGACCCAAAAGTGAGGTAACGACCTCAAGATGTCCTGGGAATAACTGTAGCTAGGGTTATAGAACATGTGAAGGAGGTCAAAGTATTCAATACCCCATGATTCCCTCACTCCCCATGAAATTAAGCATGACGGCGGGCCATTATTGGGGTAATCGCGGCTATAAATAGTTTCCCTCCATGAATGAATAACCTGCATTGAATCGACCTAAGCTTGAGTATTCTATTGATTTTGGAATTTTGCTCTCTAATTCGTATACTCACCGTGTGAGTCGTAGCCTAGAAGTGTGATATGGGTCGATCTGGTGGATTAAAGTCCATAGGGATGTTTGGTAACATTTGTGTTTTATCCTTTATTATTCCTGCACTCAAATCGCATAGAAACTGTAAAAGTTATGATATCCTTGCCATGATGTTCCTTTTTTTTAATTCATAAAAGACCTTTTAAAAATACGCCAGCTTTTGAAACAAGGAAAAATATTTTGGTTTATTTACTAACAGAAATCTGCACATCATGTGATAGTCTTCTTTTTGAAGATGATAACATGTTTCATACTTTAATTTTCTTTAAACACAGAGAGATACAAATGGTCTGAATGCTGAAAACAATGAGCTTAAGCTGCGATTGCAAACAATGGAACAGCAGGTGCATCTGCAAGATGGTAAGAGACTAAGCCTGTGTTCTCTTTGTCTGAACTCATTGAATTTGATCTGAATTTTTTACGGCTGAATGGATCTGATCTGATTTTAGTGTAATTTAAAGTTGCTGATTGATAAGCATAAGTAATAAGTAGAAACAATAAGTTGAAGAGAACGGGGCCTTAGAATATTTGATTACACTATGTTGTGCCTTTTCACTTGTTGCTTATTTTTCTCTTCATCTTGACAACTTCATTTATGATTCTATCCTTTTGGCTGTGGTCATTGTAAGTCACCCGGTAGTTGATTGTAGCTAGGCTGATCATAATATGGGTACTCTATTTCCTCTATCTACCTTATACAATATCCAAAACTCCCTTTGTCCCATAAAAAGATACTCCGTATTTTGTAATATAAGGGTACGACTCTTAAATTTTTGAAAGATGCTACTGTTGGAAATCATCAAATTTAACTATATCTTTTAAAAAGTCATTTGTTGGTTTAACCAAAACTAAAGCATAACTTATTTGCTACATTTTTAATAAAAAAGATTGCATATGATGAAATTTTTTTCTTTGGGACAAAAGCAAGTATTCGAACAAGACTCTTTTTTGGGACAGATAGACGATGACATGCCGCATCTTTACCAGAAGATAATTGCTTAAACTCTGTTGCTAATTATGTGCCATGCCGCACATTCTATAGTGTATCAAAATAGATCTGTATTTAGTCAAGACTTCCTAGTTGCTAGTTAGGGCCTGTTCTTTTAGGTTGAAAAAGTTAACTTCCAACTTTTTCTAACTCTTTCAGTTTTTCCAACTCCCTCCAGTTTTTCCAACTCCTTCCAGTTTCTTCCAACAACTTAAAAAATGTATTCACATATGATGAATATACAATAACATCATATATCCAAATTTATAACATACCACTTCAAACACATACAAAGATGAATTCTTTTTATCCAAATTAGTTTTCTTATATGTTTGTTTGGATAATCATTTAATTGAGTGAATTTTTTAACACATATTTTTTCCAACATTTTCCAATTTCTTCCATTTTTTTCAAATTCTTCCAGTTTCTTCCAACTCCTTGCAGTTTCTTCCAACATCCAACTTTAGAATTCCAACTGAAAAGAACATGGCCTCTGGTTCATGTGATCATAAAATACTTGCATATGATTGCTTTTTTATATATTAAGCATAGGATTGACTTTCACTGGTATTTGCGTACTCTTTCTGAATTTGTTGATGTGTATTGTGCATTATGTGATGAATTTAGTAACTAGGATTGCATTGCCATCATATCTAGGAGCGTACTGATAAAAAGGCTAGGGCATTACTTTTTATGCTCACATCGGGTTTGGCCCAATTTATACGCGATAAGTATTCATTTTTGTCCATGGCATGGTACTTTACAAACCCAGTATATACCACTCCCAAGTAGGGTCTTGGTTATCGGGGAGGGGGAGGGGGGGGGAGTGAATTTTGGAGTGGCCCTTCTTCTTTGCGTATACTCTGCATTAAATATTTATTGTTATTCTGCGTAATTATTTTATTTTCTGTTGTAAAAATATCATCTGTTATATTTATTCTACATGTTTTTCTTCATTCCCTCCAAAATCTATATATGATTCCGGTAAAATGATTCATTTTCGAGAAATCATTTCATTTTGGGGATTTTTTTTGGTTTCCATATGGATAATGTGTGGGCTTAAAGGGGAGGGCGTATTTGACAGTTTCCCCGATACACACACACACACACACACACACACAGGGTTTCTTCCATGCTAATTTTCTATTTTTGTCAAATAAAAAAAAGTCCATTCGGCAGTGTATTTCAGTCGTGGTAAAAAAACTGATCATTGTCATACATAATGCAAACCAACAGTCACAAAGTTTGAACATTGATACTCGATTTAGTTCAAAAGAAGTAGCCTCACAAGTGTTTAAACTTCAATTTCTTGGGGGCCAACATATCTTGGTGATGAGGCACAATTTCCCCCAGGGATTGAATTGAAACCCGTCTAGGAGTTTGATCAAATCTGATTCATTAACGTATATTCAATGTTCGTCTTACTTACATTGGCTCTATATGTGCAGCCTTAAATGATGCCCTAAAAGAGGAAATACAGCATCTCAAAGTGTTAACTGGCCAAGGAATGGCGAATAGTGGGCCTATGATGATGAACTTTGCTCCGCCCTTGGGAGGGGGGAACCACCAATTCTATCCCAACAATAACCACGCGATGCACGCTTTGTTAACCGCTCAGCAGTTTCAGCAGCTCCAGTTGCATTCTCAAAAGCCACAGCCACAGCAGTACCACCAACCACCACCTCCTCGCGTGAACCCCCCAGATAAGCAGCCGCACCAATCCACCGACTCCAAAATGAGAAGCTCGTTATCTGCGAGTGCTCTGAACGAGCATCCTTCAACTTAACAAGCCAACAGATAAAAGTTCCTGTTGTCAGTGTTGAACAATCACAAAAAAAACCTGTAATGGTTCTCTCTAACTAATTAGTTGGTTTTGTAGGATGCAGAAGAAGCACAATTCCATCTCTTATCTTCTTTAGGGGAAGAGTTTGTCATAGTCTTATGTCCCCAAATGCAGCTCATTTGCAGATTTGACTGCTCTTCCTCTGATCATAGGGTTCTGGATTTGAAGAAGTCCTGATTATATGGCTGAAGAGCTTTTCTGTCTATGGTATTAATTTTTTTTTTTTTTGCCATTGTAGCTGACTGTTTCTTTGGATGCACAACATTGTTTTATTTGATGCTTTGCTCTATAGTTGATTAAATTGCAAGGTTTTTTTTCCTTCTTTTTTACCAGTTCAGGTTATTATATTTACCAGTCTAGACTTGCCAATTTTCTTGTTTTAATTTGTTTGGAATTAGTTCATTTTTCCTATTCAGTAAATAAAAATCTTTAAACATTTCAAGAGAAAAACCATGAGTTTAGTTTTCACATTAATTTATTTAAAAAATAGAACCAAACATTTTGTTTAGGAAAAACATATGGAAAAGGCTGCATTTTAAGGCGAACCCAAGATCCATGTAAGAACAACTTTAAGGGGGAGAGGAAGATTGCGAAATGATGATGTGGAAGGGGGGGAAAATAGGAAAATGGTTAGAGTGAGGTAAGGAAAAGAAGAAAGGAAGGAACGGGAAGAAAGAAAAAGAAGAAGAAAAAAAGAAAGAAAAAAAGGAGAAAAATGAGGGGAAAAATGAACAAAAAATATTTTAAATAAATAAAAACATACTTTGTAAAAAAATTAATTTATTTTAAATTTAAGGACTTTTTATAAGTTAAGTTTTGTAAAATTAAGTTCTTGACATATTCTTGATTTAAAAGTAAAATATATAAATCTAATTTATATATATTTTAAATTAATCACTTCGATTAACTATATAAAAAGATATGCAAATAATTTTTTTTGGTAGTATATATTTAAAAAAATAAAATACACTTTGTAAAAATTTAATTTTTTTGTCAATTTATGGACTTTTTGTAGTCAAGTTTTATAAAATTTAGTTTATGACATATTTTCTTATTAAAATTAGAAATATCTAAATCTGATTTGTTTTTTAAAGTAAATCATTTTGAATAATTATATTAAAAATCATGCAGATAAAGTATTTTTGGTAGTATATATTTTTTAAAAAAATACACTATGTAAAAAATTAATTTGTTGTAAATTTAAAGACACTTTATTAGTCAAGTTTTATATAATTAAGTTAATAACATATAATTTGTTAGAAAAATTCTTTATATAGTTAGGTCTTAAAAATACCGTTCACTCTGGGTGATAGGTTTTTTCTCTTCCTTCTACTCACCTTTGTAGTTTCACCATTCCCTTTACAATATCTTCTTTCACTACACCGTACTCTTTATTCTCCCCCTCTCCCCTTTCACTCCTGATTTCAACGAGATTCTTTATGTTGTGTAACGAATATTGTTGTAAGAAAAAATACTAATTAAAAAGGCCCCTAAAAATTGGGTTCTACAAATTGCTTACAATGGATCTTTGGTTCACCTAAAAACTCACCTTTCAAGTACGTTTAAATATGTTTATCACACAATGGAGACGTGATACATTGACGCTGGGGACGCCGTGGTTGCATTTTCAACTGATATTAGAGACACACGCCTTGTTCCAGTCATGAGCTGTTTTCAACTGAAACCTTAACACTATGTTTGGTTCAAGGAATTTGGAAGGAAAAGAAAAGAAAATGGTTTTCTCTCATTTTCCTCACCAAAATGGAAGGAATTGGATTTTCCCTCCACTTGGTACATTTTGCCTTCTCATTTTCTTTTCCTTCCACTTTTCCCTTCTTTTCCCTTCTAACCAAACAAGAAAAATAGTTTTCCACTTCATTTTCTTTTCTTTTCCCTTTTAAATTCCTTGAACCAAACATAGTGTAAATCTGGAGTTAACTAGAAATTAGAGGCTGAGATAAAAACATACTTGACGGGAACAAAGCATGCATTGTGAAGCTGTTTTGAGATCTTGCTAACAAAAAGGACCTGCTTTGGGTCAGATGGATCCATAACAAGATATATCAAAGGGGCTGACATTTGGACTTATGAACCTAAGAAAGATTATCCTCATAGTGGGCCATGATGATCAAAATTATGGAGTCTTTACTGTGCAGAAAGGATATAAATGGCTTCAAGGTGAAGGGGTGGTTGGATACCATTAGGGGGGGGGGTATGGAATAAGGCTTCTCTGCCCAAACATCAATTTTTGATGTGGATTATTAACAGGGGAAAATGAATGGCAAAAAGCAGAATGAAGAAGTTCATGGACATATCTGACAAATGTGTGATATGTGATGACAAGGAAGACACCCAAGATTACCTGATCCAGGAATGTGGTTCAGCAAAGGAAATTGGAGAAGATAATTTTTGCTTGGATGGGATTCATACCTGTTGCAACTGAGATGGCAGAGCTGAACCAAGAGATCATGCAAATAAGACCAAAGAACAGATCATCTCTGGGTGGGCTGCATGCTGCTACACCATATGGAAATATAGAAACAAAAGAATGCACAAAACTGAGTTTACAAAGGAGGCTGCTATCAGACAGACTAAGTTTTATTCTTTTTGTGAGTTCAAATTGAAAGGGAGTGTAGCTTAGCTCTGAGTTATAAAAGACTAATATTTATTTTGGTGATTAATATTTTGTGCATTCTGTTCAAAAAAAATTGCAGTAACACAAAGGACATCAACACATTATGCTGTTGCATTTGCACAAAAAGAACTGCAGTTAACACGCCACTAGAATATATCTTGAGTTTAAAAAAACAACATGCTGGGTCTGAACATTAGCTCCAGAACAAATTGGAACTCTTAATCGTCGTCCCTCTCTGGTGGAAGACCACAAGGTGCAAGCATTTTCTGCAAAACCACAAGAAGTTGCACAGTGGAATATAGTTTGGATGATAATTACAGAGTACATAAAAGCTCCCAAATGTGAAAGAACAGAGGCACTTTAACTAGCAATATTGATTATTTGTGCAGCATTTTGGATGTGCATATATACGAGTACTTAAAACAACAAACCCAGTAAAATCTCACCAAAAGTAGGGACTGGAAAGATGTGTATAAGCAAACCGTACTAGGAAATATGAAGAAGAGAGGTCGTTTCTAATCAACGTGCATATTTAGTTGTTTAGAAATTCGGTGGGGTTTCCATGACATTGAAACCCCATGTCATGGGATGACCCGGGGGCCTTCCGGTGACCCCTTCGTAAAATTGACGATTCCTACCCCCCCCCCCTCCATTATTTTAGCATCTTGACCTAATTAACAACCCCCAACTTAGGCTCTGTTTTTTTGGGTTGGAAAAATTAATTTCCAACTTTATCCAACTTCTTCCAGTTCAAACTCTTTCCAGTTTATTCCAACGACTTAAAAAATGTATTTATATATGATGAATATAAAACAACATTATAAATCCAAATTTACAACATACCACATCAAACACAAAAAATGATGATTTTTTTATCCAAAATTAGAGTTTTCTTAGATATGTATTTGGGTGATCATTTAATTGAGTGACTTTTTAACACTTAAATTCTTCCAACATTTTCCAACCCTTTTCAACTCCTTTCAGTTTCTCCCAACACCCAACTCTAAAATTCTAACCCAAAAAAACAGAGCCTTAATGGTTGTGACTGAATCAAAGTTACTAAGTAGTTGAAACTCCTAACTTATTTACCAGACATTTCATTAGTTAAGTTATCATTAATTACCAAAGACAACCACGTATACAAAGGAGAACTATTTTTTGGACATTTAATAGTATATACGACATAGTTAAAGAAAACAACTAATAGCGCTTAGTTCGATACACAGAAGGGTGAAATAGAAATGAATGTCTTTCATAGCACACCTTAGCATCTTTTCATGTTTGTATCATGTGATGTTATTTTCTGAGTTGATTGTTAAAGTATCATGTGAAATTACACAACTTATCTAATTTTAGTTATAGTGGGATGGTTTTGGGTTTGTTGTGGTTGTGGTTAAGATTTTCCAATTTTAGTATTAATATGCACACAAAAGATTAAAAGCATAAAAAAATACTCTCTGCATTTTTAATGAAGACAACCAAGAGGGAAAAGGTGGAAAAAATAGACAATTACAGTTGTTGCTAAAAGGCATATGAATTATGAAGAAAAATTTAGTTGTTTCAATTGTGATAAACCATTTCCTCATCATAGTTCCCAGATAAAATGTTTTTGGGCAGTGCAAAAGTTTATAACATTATAAAATGAATACAGTATCATAGGGGCATAACCAAGTGGAAAAAATGCTTGGGGTCATGGAAGTATTATTTCCTAAATCACGAATAGCTTGCTAATTATGTCTTTGGCATTTCATAGCATATAAAGATCAGAAACACTAAGAGCTAAAGTATATTCTAAAATTCTAGAATTTTCAAAGAAACGGTGCAAACTACTCAATGACATTAGTAATATGCAATTATATATGAAGTCTATAAAATGGTGAATTTAAAATTAAGTGGAATAACTTTTACAAAAAATGGCAAAAATATCATGACTAGTTTCCGAAAATGATGTAAACTACAGTAGGGCTAAGACTCTTAGAGTCAAGTAATTGTACAGGTGTGGCATGCAAGTGAAAAAGAGAGTGATTTTCAATGTAGTTGAAGATTGATTGTTCTTTGTTGTATGGATGTAGTTGTCTACTTTCCAAATAAATAAAAAAATTAAAGAATGAGAACAAAATAAAAATAAAAACTCTTTCTATATTAGTTTTTTTCATTGATAGCAACATTGTTAATATGTTCTTTAGAGGGTAGTATTTATGATTCAAAACAAGCTTTTGAAAGGCGATAACTAGCATCGAGGCGGTAGAGCAAAATGCCTAGAGGCGTAAGCCTTGAAGCAAAACAATACTAAAACAAAATGCACAATCCATTTTCATGTTAAGTAAATGATAAAATCATAAAATCTGAATTTTACAAAAAAAAATGATACCCTCTCTTGATTCTTAAAACACAAAAAAATAGAATTATAACATCTGCAAACCTTATAAATATTAAATATGGACAAAACTTCATGCAAAGAAAAAGTTACATTATTCTTTAAGTTTGAACTGAATTTAAAAGAGGGAAAAGGATGCTGGAAAAGAAGGAAAGGAAAAAGTTAAAACTTTAAAAAAAGAAAGAAATAGAAGATAAGCAATTAAATATGAAGCAATTGTCTTAGCTGCTACCACAAGACAGAAGTATGCAGATGGAAAGATGGATGTTAACACTAAAGTCCGGGAAAGAAGTGTTAATTATCTATTAGGTTTATTTGCTCAAAAGAGTTTTTGTAAAAAAGGCCCAATAATTGTTGAAATTTTTATTAAAATTGAGGCTTATGCCTTGCTTACGAGGAAAAATGCAACCGCCTCGAGGCAAACCGCCTCAGTCGCCTTTTTCAAAATAACTTGTTTACTACTACAGTAAGAGGACAATATATTTCTAATTTTGGATGCACAAATACGAAGAAATGGATAGCTAAATCCGAACAGAGTGAGTGGTAAATGGGAGAAAATTATATAAACAAGATCAGGTAAAATAGATAAAACATGACCACATATAAGGAGCATAAGACAGCAAGACAGAAACACGGTGAGCAACACTAAAATAATGCAGAGTATACATAATACAATCAAGTTAAATGCAGAAAATAAACACTGACCTGCATGAAATTGTAGCGCTCTCTACCAATAGATTCGTTCTCTGCAATAGCAAAGTAAGCCAGCATTGGGTAATGTCCAATATAAGAGGCAAAGCTATCACGCTGTATATTCACTGCCCATTCACTATACACAGAAGAAAGAAAACAAGAAAAAAGGATGGCTATTAGCATAATTCTTAATGATAAGCTGCCAAAATTTCTACAACAACAACAACAACCCAGTTAAATCCCACAAGAGTAGGGTCTGGGGAGGGTGTGTGTACGCAGTGGAACGGGGATGAGCTTTCATCTCTCCGACAAAGGTTTCTCTGGGGGCCGAGTTGCAGCTTTCAACGTAACGAACTGATTGACGATGAAGTAATTAATTTCTTCGCGTTTATCAAATCTATAGGTAAAACATTTATTCCATCACACCCCAAAGCCAAAAACAGGTGAAATTTTGGCTCCATCGGAGATGATGGAAAAAAGCTGCCAAAATTTCTAAAAAGATTAAATCTTTACCAATAAAAGATTTCAAGAATATGCTAACCCCGCAAACAAGATAAATTGAAAACAAGTAAGGCAATTGGGGGGAAGAAACTAACAATCTCGTCAGGTCGGCATGTCCAGTTCCTACATATTTAGCCTGCAAGTGCTCGAGCTGGGAGTTGATATTAAATCTATCACTTGCCTGCATCAAAGAACAATGGGCTTAATAAGTTACTCCTATTCAATAACGAGAATTGGTATATTTATATTTTTAGGGTTTTGCGATGAACAAGTACATGTTAGGGTTTTCGGTTGGATTGGCAAGGCCGGTTTAAATTTCAAGAATTGCAAACTAAAAACAGAGAATTAATGCATCAATGAACTATTCCGCATAAATTAAATTTCAGAGATGTACCTGCATTTTTCCCTGTGAGAGTCGAAAGTTGTAAAATTGTGTGAGACTTCTGCAGAAATAAAATGTTTCAAAATCTTGAAATCATATCCAATACAAATACTGAGTATGACTTGGCACTTGCAGCCGAGTATGACTTAACAGCCTTTATTTTAATACTTGGAAAATACTTATTTAGGATATATGAATATTCACCATAGATATTAGGTTCATGTAATAATTTGTCTATTTCCAGAGTCAACTTGAAACTTTTGGCTTTAACAAAATTTAAATGATACCTCTCAAAAATTTAATTTTTTATAAAAATACTTCCAAATTTGATAATTAATATCATTGCTCCCAAATTTTTTAATTTTGGCGACATTACTCTTAATTGATAGATCAGCTCCTACGTAAAAAAAAAAAGGTTGACTTGTGTTTTGAATACTCTTTTTCCATTTTGATTTATTAAAAATAGAAGCCCTAAGTCTTCTTCATACACATTGTGTTCGTAATTTTGTTCCTCTCGATCGTATTTCATATTTTATCCCCTTGATAATCTTATTTATTCATTTGATTTCCCTCTTAATTTAAAATGTTTATTAATATTTCATCTATTATAAATTAATAGTTTGAGTTTAATTCTCCATGGAATTTAATAAAATAAAATTATATATTTGAAAATGATGTAAATAGAGTAATTACCTATACCAAAAAATGTAGTTAAATAAAATTAAGTTTTTTAAATAATAAAAAGACCTGGGACTCCTATTTTTAATAAATTTTGAATAAAAAACGACAACTCAAAATACAAATTTGTTTTTTTACGTAGGAGCTGACCAGCCAATGGGGAGTAACGACGTGAAAATATAATCTAGTTGGGAGCAAAGATTTAATTATCAAATATGAGAGTATTTTCGTAAAAAGTCATATTTCTGAGAGTATTGGTGTAAATTTTTACAATTTTAAATGCAAATTGATAAAAGTATTTATTTTTCAAAATTGTCCTTCAATTGCCTACATGTCAACTCTTCTATCTCCAACCGCAACTTTGTCAAACAAAAAAGTTGACAGAGGGAATAACTTGCCTCAAACAAAATAATAAGAGAAGGGTAACTTAGCCGTTTCCACACAAAAATTGTCTGAAAATTTTAGAAAACATAGAGTGAGAACCTTAGACGATGAAGCCCAATCTTGTAGAAGAAGCGAACCTTTGAGAACCTATGGAGATATGAATAGAAAATTCCACCAGAGAGCCGCGGGAGATAGAGATATGCTATTGAGGGAGAGACTCACTGATGTAGAACATGAATTAATTGCTTAATTCAAGTAGCTACTAAATAAATGTAGGACCTTATCGACGATTAGTGCTCGAACTAAGCTGTTTCAACGGAATTGTAGAAGAGAAAGAGAATTGCAGAGATAAAAGGTAGAAGACAATGAAATGTATTTTCTTGTGTTATACAGAGTTTACATGCCTATTTAAGCAAGATTATACAATTGAATTAGTTAGAAGCTTAACTAACTCATAACAAACTCACTACAGCCCAACCACAGCCCAATTACAACTCAATAATACGGCCAACTGCACTTAGCTACTAAGCCTGTATCAAGTTCAGGGCAGGTCCTGAGAATTCAACAGCTTGGGCCGAGATAAAAAAAGGCCCTAAATATAAAGTCTAGCAAATTAACATATGTAAACTAATTATATATAAATGATAATTAAAGTAATATTATTAGAAGAAAATAAATAAATGACCAAAGCGTTTCTTATCCGTCTTGATACTTTTTCAATCTTCATCCCGTTTTCTCTTTTTACGTTTTTGAATACTGGATAGATGTTTAGAACCTATAGCTATTGGATTATTTCTGAAATAAAATTTAAATTCATAAATTTTTCTACTTAGTAAAATCAAATATGGAAAAGCAAGCAAATAAATTCATATATCATAAACTCATATCAATTGATTCAATTCGTCATTTTTTTAGTTTTTTTTCTTTTTCAGTTTTCAGTCTTTTTATATACGGAGTATATCTTAAATTCATGTCAATTTATCAATTTTTTTAGTTTTTTTAGTTTTTCAGTTTTCAGTTTTTTTATATATATCATAAATTCAAATCAATTCATCCAAATCAAATAAAGAATATATGGAACCATTAATTCATTCATATTTCATAGCAATTAGCAAAGATTTCAAACTAAAAATTAATAATTAACCCTAGATTTTAAATCCAAAGAATGAAACAATGAAAGAAAGAAAATTAGAAAAAATTACTAAATTGGAAAGGTAGTGAATACGGAATACCTGGAGGGTGCAGCGGCGTCTGGCGGCAGCGGCAGCGGCAGCGACGTCTCTCTACCGGCGGCGTTCTCCAGCAGTCGGCACTCTCTTTCCTATTCGGTTTCGGCAGTAGGCTTCGTCTCCAGCGCCTCTGCGGTTCCGAAGTAGGAAGGGATGGGGTGGCTAATGAGATGGGCTTTTGACATATTGGGCTGAGTTCTAGGCTTCTTATATACATACATATAATATTAAAAAATAATTGGCCTCTTAAAATCATGGGCCCAATCCGAAAGGACTGTTTGTAAAAAGAGTCACAAGTCCATTTTTTATTGGAACAAGTAAGAAAATATCAATATGTTAAATTACGGAGTATATTACAAATTTGAATGAGGTGGCAAAAAGAGCCACAAGTCCATTTCTTATTGGAACAAGTATGGAGCGTTTCAAAACACCCTCTTCAAAAGGTGTGTCCAAGGAAACGCCTTGTATGGTGGTTATTGTGTTGCCTAAATCTCTATACTTGTTATTGGATGTGTATGACGAAAGTCGGTGAAATATTGTTCTTCCCATAATGAATGGGGATACTAAGTTTATTATTGTTTATACTAAATTATGAATTAAAATTGCGGAATAGGCCACCTAGTATGCCTAGGAGAATCTGAATTAAATTGTTACAAATCTTGAAAAAACTTACACGATCGAGGATTTAGAACTTAAGATCATGCAGGTGTCAGCGTACATCTGATGGTCTCCAGGGTTAAAGTCTACGTACAGAAGTCTACGATCTGCCTTCAGGAATGTCCATGACCAGTGTGGATAGTTAAGCTTTAGCCTCATAGGTTAAGATGGTAAGATTATGCAAGGATTTGAACTAAACCAACGAGCGATTAATCATACTGATGAATAATTATGATTACTGGTTCTTCTAACATTTTTGTGATTATATATTGATGTTGTTAGTCTATGAGTTACTTCTTAGTGTTAAGACATTTACTAATTCAACTTCCAGCTGAGTGTGTAGCCTTTGTTGTCTTTGACTACACGCAGGTAGAATTCTAAGATTGGATGAGCAGCCCGGTGATTAGTGATGTTCGACAAAGTGGATGACCCAAAGCTATTTAGGTTAAATTAATTATTCAATTGAAGTTATTTACTTAAATTAAAAGATTGTTTTGTAATGTTGTTTTAAGGGCTTTCGTAAAATTTAGATTTTGTTACTCTAAGATTATCTTATATTTATTTTTAATTAATGCATATGGATGTTTTATTTTAAATGTTTTTAAAAATATTGTATATGCAAATATCAAACTAATAGTAACCTGATTATTAGCTAAAATGTCTGAATGTTACAATATTTACTTGGGAAGAAAATTATATGAGGGATTATAATATGGTCTCTAACCTTGGAATTGTGTTCAGATGAGAGATTTTGGAGAGAGAAAGTAGTATAGTAGAGAATACAATTTTCAATGCAAATTATTTTATTTGATTGCATTAGAAAAAGGGAAGAAGAGAGAAAGATTCAAGGAGAGAATATTTATGAAATTGAGAGAGAAAATTTATGAAATTACAAGTTTATCATTTAATTTTTTATTAATGTCATGCATAAACTAATAATCTCTTTTTATTTTACCAGATTTTTTTCCAAAAAATTGCTGCCAGGTACCCTCTATTTTGTGGTAAGAACTGCCAGGTACCCTTAATTTTTAAAATATACTCTCAGGTACCCTAAATTATAAAAAATATACCAAGAGGTGATTTTCCATCCATTCTCCATCCATCCCTTCTTTCTCCGTTAAGTGTACCACCATCATCATCCATCATCATCATCATCATCAATCATCATCATCATTCCAGCACCATCATCCCATTTCTTTCGTACATCCTCCTCCTCTTCTTTTTTTTTTCTTTCTTCTTCTTCTTCTTCTTCTTCTTCTTTCTTCTTCTCATCCTCCTCCCCCCTTTCAACTTTCAATCTTCCAGACACCCCCCACACTCACCCTTATTTCTTCTTCTTCTCCTTCTATTATTATTATTATTATTATTATTATTATTATTATAATTATTATTATAATTATTATTATTATTGCTATTGTTATTATTATTATTATTATTATTGTAATTATTATTATTATTATTATTATTTAGTTGTTGGGCAAGGTTCAAATGACATTGCCCGGCAATGTCATGGGATGACCGGGGGGCGCTCCGGTGTCCCGTTCGTAAAATTGACAGTTCCTACCCCACCTAACACCCCGGTAAACCCCCCACTCTGCCCCGACCCAAACACACCCCCCACCCTCTTCAATTGCACCCCACAATTGATTTTGACTTTGGAGTCAAATTTTGACGTCAAAGTCAAAATCAATTTGTGGGATGCAATTGAAGGGGGTGGGGGGTGTTCGGGGCGGGGTGGGGGTATTTACCGAAGGAAGTTAGGGGGGTAGGAACCGTCAATTTTACGAACGGGACACTGGGGTAGTAATTTTTTGTTTTTCTACTATATTTTTAACCAAAAAACACTAAAGCTCCCACCAAAAAATTGTATTCTCCATTAATCTTTCAGAATCTCCATTAATGTAAAAAACAAAAAATTACTGTTTGGAACCCCTAATTTTGTTCTTAGAACTGTCGGGCACCTTCATTTTTATAGTGAAACTATTGATTAATTTTTAATAATATTAATAATAATGAATAATAATAGAAGAAGAAGAAGAAAATATTACTTCATAATAATAAATAGTAGAGGTAGAAGAAAATTATACTCCCTCCGTCCCCAATTTGATTACAAATTGCGGGTTACGGAGTAAAATTTCTTACTTTTTGAAATCATTTTATTTACAAATTGGTATATCAATAAGATATAAAAATTACATATTAAAAAACTACGTGAAAAGTTCTACAAAATAAGAGGTGACACGAATATTTTATTTTATCAAATACTTAGTCAAATCGCGTAAACAAACAAAAGTTATCGAGAGGAGAGAGAAAAAAAATTGTAATCCATTTAGGGACGGAGGGAGTACTTTGTAATAAATAATAATAAATAGTTTTAATATTAAAAAATTATTAATATTAGTTTTTAATATTAACAATAATAATTTAGAAGAAGAAAATAATACTTTGTAATAAATAATACGGAGTAATACTACTTTGTAAATAATAAGAAAGAAGAAGAAGAAGAAAAATAAAAAAAAAGAAGAAGAGGAGGATATACGAAGAAGATGAGATGTTGGTGCGGGAATAATGATGATGATGATTGATGATGATGATGGTGGATGATGATGCTGATGGTGGTACACTTAACGGAGAAAGGAGGGATGGATGTAGAATGGATGGAAAATCACCTCTTGGTATATTTTTTTATAATTTGGGGTACCTGAGAGTATATTTTAAAAATTAGGGGTACCTGGAAGTTCTTACCACATAATAGAGAGTACCTGGCAGCAATTTTTTAGATTTTTTTCTCTTAGTTTTCCTGTCATTTTTTATTCATCCAAAGAACAAAAATCCTATATATATATGTAAAATAGAGTTTAGTTGTTGAAATGTTGACATGTGGCATGCCACATGTGCATCCACATGTGCACACATTTATGAAGTGGATATATGCATTGCACCTATTTTAAATATCTTTTAATACATTTGTATAAAATTTTTCATTCTTTAATAATTCTGAATATATATTTCACCATTGTAAAATAAACTTCGTATTTTGAGTACACACACATAAAATTATTTTTATACTATCCATAGCTTATTTTAGTTTATTACTTCTCAAAAAATGATTGTATAAATTTAAAGGGTGACAACTGACAAATGACATTATGACACATATATATTCTCTAATGATGTATCATTATGCATGTAACTGATCCACTTTTTATTACTCCGTATAATATTTTATTAATTTAAACCATTTCTATTTAGTACTTAATTCAATGATTATTAATTTTGTAAAATTGTTTTTTTAAATTAACATACCAATATACTCTGTATGTTCCATCAGTCTAAAACATTTTTTGTCACTATTAGAAACTAAAACAACTAAAATTATATTTATAAAATCTCAAAAAATTAGAATATATACGAGCCCGTGCGAAGCACGGAGTAAACACTAGTTTCCTTTTAATTTTCTCTTCCAATTATCTTCTCATCAACATTTACTTTCTCCTCATTTTCTCCCCTTTCATATTTTTCTAATCCAAACAATGCATAACCGACCATCCAATTTCTCCCTCCCGCTAGTCTTCCTTCCCCAAGTCAAGTCCAAGTCAACTTTACTCTCACAAAAACGTAGTCCACTAGTCAACAGAAAGCTCGCTTCTCCGCCCTTAAATTCGCCATCTCCATGGAGCTCTTCTCATGAATGAAATGGAATCCCATTATGTTTTCAGGCTTCTCGTACTTCTCCTCACTCTCCGGGCCGCCATTTCCGAAATATTCTTCGAAGAGCGTTTCGACGGTATGTGATTTCCGATTCGCAATTAATTTGTCTCTTCTCGTCTGATCTTACATTTCCACTTGCTCTTCGTATTCTGTGTAGCTGTTGTATTAATTATCTGCTCTCTCTTTTTCTCTCTGTTATTGCGTGGGAAACGAAAGATGGATGGAAAGAGAAATGGGTAATATCCGATTGGAAGAGGAGCGAAGATAAAGCTGGGAGCTTTAAACACTCGGCTGGCAACTGGAATGGTGACCCCGATGACAAAGGTTATATGTTTTCTCTACTTTTTTCTCTCTGTTATTTTGTGGGAAATGAAAGATGGGTGGAAGAAATACACACACACACATATTATATCATATATGAATGGTATTCTCTAAAACATGGAATATATCTATATCATTGTGTAGAAAATAATAAGAGGGAAAATATTCTGTATATTCAATTGTTCTGTTTAGTTACAAGGGGTTTCTCCTTTATTTATAGGAGAGGATGATTCCAAAATAGACAAGGAATACAAATCCTACAAGGAAACAAATCATAACCAAACTAGGAAACAAATAAATCAAGATCAATCCTAATTAGAATGGGATTCGGTCATCAAAGGATTCGGACTTCTCAAGTTCGGATTTCTCGGAATTCGGACCTCTCGGAATTTGGATCTCTCGGAATCCGGATTCCTCGGAAGTCGGACTTCTCCGGATCCGGACTTCTCAGTTCTAATACCCCCCTCAAGCTGGAGCATGCGGATTCTGGATGCCCAGCTTGGACAGTAAATGAGAAAACGGAGCGGAAGCCAAAGCCTTTGTAAAGAGATCTGCCGGTTGATCATTGGTGGAGATGTGGCGAGTACACAAAACACCTCGTTGGATTTCGTCACGTACAAAGTGGCAATCAATCCCAATGTGTTTTGTACGTTCATGGAAGACCGGATTAGCGGCAATATGAAGAGCAGTCTGATTATCACAAAACAACCGCATGGGCTGTTTGTGACGCACACCAAGGGAGAAGAGAAGGGATTTTAGCCATTTGAGCTCACAAACAGTAGTTGCCATGGCCCTGTATTCGGCTTCAGCCGAAGAACGGGAAACTACACTTTGTTTCTTTGTACGCCACGATACCGGGGAATCGCCAAGAGTGATAAAATATCCAGTAACAGAACGCCGAGTCAAGGGACACCCAGCCCAATCAGAGTCACAGAAAGCTTTAAGAGTAAGATCACTTTGTACTGGAAGAAACAAACCCTGCCCGGGACAGGCCTTGATGTACCGTAGAACGTGAGTCGCACCGTCCCAGTGTTCTTGCCGCGGCTCCCCCATGAATTGAGACAACACATGAACAGCATAAGCCAAGTCAGGACGACTGATCGTGAGATAAATGAGGCGCCCCACAAGTCTGCGATAACGCTCTGGGTTGGTGAGAAGCGGGCCACACGCTAGAGCCAGTCGTTGATTCTGAGGAAGGGGAGTGGAAGCCGGACGAGCACCCAGAAATCCAGTCTCACAAAGTATATCCAGAGCATATTTGCGCTGGCATATGAAAATCCCTTTCGAATTTCGGGCAACCTCAACGCCCAAAAAATATTTTAAGAGACCAAGGTCCTTCATATGGAAGCAATCAGATAGATACCGTTTAAATTTGCCAATGAAGCCTTCATCATTTCCTGCGATCACAAGATCATCCACATACACCAGCACAC